GACCATACCCGCAGCTAAAATTTGTACATGCATATATGTTACTCACTCTTTTCTAGTAACATATTTTATGTTGGATATTTCATGCATACTGTCTTCAATAGGGTCTTCAAAGGCATTGCCTACTACCCTAAATATACTGAACTATACTGAAATATTAACAATGGATGATTTTTCGTTCTAAAGTAAACTCCCTTAACCCAGCCATTTGACATCTATGCTACAGATAAGAGACTTTCGTTAGATGCTCCGAAATTAGGCCCTAGTGTCCGTTTATGAAAATAAGGGCTATGGGTCGTTGAGGAAACTCGAATATCAAGTACACCCACGTCACATATCATTAGGAATTAATAGCGTTTTAAGGGAATCAGTCTTACAGGCAAAGTGTTTGGGGGCATTGTCATATTTTAGAGGACTCTAATCATTTATTTAAATAGATAGTTGATTTCTTGATCACTCCAATATATTATCCTGCCGAATTTTTTTTCAGAAATCATTGATTGATACATACCTCAAAACTGACTGGTTGATGTGTGTCCCCTAACCTGTGGCAATATATTCATTGCTAAAACATACTTAATTTCAGTCGTTGTCCATCTTTCTGTCTATACTAAGTCTCACTAAGTAAGTTGAACCTTGCAGATTTGTCACCTATAGATTCCGTAGTTTCGTTGCCTCAGACCAAGATCAGTAATATACTTTCGGTAGTTTCGTTTGAGATTTCGACAAAATGTGTAAACAATCAAACGTCTTTGGGGATGCGTTGAAAATAAGAGATTGATAAAAGACGGACGCAGGGCTCACTGGTTAGGACTCTTGTAAAAGGTAACATAAAAACTCATTGTCATTCTGAACTGACGCATCGAAAGCAATCGATTAGGCAGTTTGTGCCATTGACAGGCAAGACCTTTGCCTTGCATTCGGAATAGTATTTTACGAAGCTCGGTTAGGTTCGTTCTCTCGAAAACGTACGCTTTTCTAAGCCGTCCTGTCCTGTTTTTTTTACCGTATTTAAAAATTTAGGCTTTTTCGCTCGTCCAGGAGATGCGACCACAGTAGACTTACCTTTTTTCAAAAGCTTCGTAAACACACGCTCAGAGAGGACACCTACGCAGCTTTCAAGTTCTAGAAGAGGAATATGATTGGCCATAAAACCATCCATTGCAAGGAAAATTCTATCGAAGTCCTCGTGTTGCTCCTCGGCCTCCAAGGTTGCCTGCAGCTAGCAATTACAAGAGAGTACATTTGATTACTAAAAATAACTTAACAATAAATGTTTAAAGAATAGTCGTAGAGGGCCTTGCCCGTCGAATTGGACATTTACTTTCCTGACATGATAGCATGATAAAATTTCCTTTGCTGC